GTAACACCATATTGGGCTCTTTTTTTTTTCTTTTTGCAGTACTGGGATTTGAACTCAGGGCCTTCACCTTGAGCCTCTCCACCAGCCCTTTTTTTGTGATGTTTTTTTTTTCCAAGACAGGGTCTCTCGGACTATTTGCCTGGGACTAGCTTTGAATCTCGATTCTCCTGATCTCTGCCTCCTGAGTAACTGGGATTACAGGTCTGAGCCACTGTCAAAAAAAAACTGGGGTTTTTTTTTGAGACAGAATCTCATTAAGTAGCCCAGCCTGGTGTTGAACTTCAGATCTTCCTGCCTCTCCCTCCTGAGTGCTAGGACCACAGGCACGGCCGCCCATCACTCCTGGTGACAACCCTGTCTTTGCAAGGTGCAGGACCCACAGGTTTAGGTGGGACTGTGTTTTGCACCACGGTGAAGATCAAGTGCAGGATGCAGGCTTGGGGAAGGAGGTGAGAGACTGCAGAGTCGGGGTGAGGAGGGGGAGGCCTAGCAGAAAGCCTCGGGGACTCCAGGAGGGGGAGGCTATGCAGCCGGCTGCCCATGAAGCGACTGCCTTCCTGGCAGTGGCGATCCTGGAGCCCCTCCAGGGCTGCAGGGCCTGGCAGAAAGGGGCCTGAACCCTCTCTCAGGAAAGTGGGTTCAGGACGGGATGTTCTGAGCACAGCGCGGTGGCCAGCTAGGGACAGCTCAGGCCTGGCCCCAGCTCTCCCCTGCCATGCCCTCGTTCCACAGAGGCTCAGGTGGCACCTGGGTTCCCATGAGGCCCAGGAACACAGTGCCCGTTTCCCTATCTTTCCCCAGAGGAGCCTGAGGTGACAGAAAGGACTGCGTGACTGGTGTCCTATAAGGAACACAGAGGTGCCCAGGGAAATAGAGACTATTTTGAGGCTCTTTTGCTAAGCTTGCCTGTAATCCCAGCAACTCACAAGGCAGAGATCAGGAGAATGGTGGTTCAAAGCCAGCTCTGGCAAGTAGTCCAAGAGACCCTATCTTGAAAAAAACAACCCACCACAAAAAAAGGACTGGTGGAGTGGCTCAAGGTGTAGGCCCTGAGTTCAAACCCCACTACTGCAAATAAATAAATAAATAAATAAATAAATAAATAATAAAATAATGAAACTTCCCCCTCCCCCAAAATAAAAAGCTGTACAGTCATCAGATTTGAGCATCTGGAGGTGACACTGTCCACAAGGACACTGCCTTTCCTGTTTCCCTCACTGCTAAGTCTTCATGCAATCGAGAGCAGGGTAAATTTGTGTCACTCACTTTGGCACTGAACAAAGGACAGAGGGTTCTCCCTGTCACCCAAATTCAACTGTGGCTTTTTGCATGGTTCATGGCCAAAGTCCAGGCCAAAGTCTAAGCAAAGAAAAAACATGAAAACATGTCGGTTTGTGGTTAGAAGATGAACTGTTGGGAGGAAGGGCTGGCCAAAGCTGCAATAAACTGTGTCCATCACAATGGGGCTTGTTAAATACATAACAAGACACACATACAGTGGAATATTACGCTACAGTGAAAAGGAACCAGGAGGTTGCTTATATGCTATTGAAGTAATGGTGCCAAGATATTGTCAAGTAAAAAACAGCGGAGTTATGTCTGGGGATGTAGTTCAGTGGTAGAGCGCTTGCCTGGCAGATGCAAGGCCCTGGGTTCCAGCTTCACGAAAAACAAAACAAAACAAAAACAGAGAAGTTAGCTGGGCTTGGTGGTGCACGCCTATAATCCCAGCACTTGGGGGCTGAGACAGGAGTTTGAGGCCAGCCTGGACTACAGAGTGAGATCCTGTCTCCAAACAAAACACACACACACACACACACACACACACACACACACACACGCACGCACACACACACACACACACGCACGCACACACACACACACACACACGCACGCACGCACAAAAGCGGAGCTGAATATATAAATCCGTGGTTTTTTTGTCTCCATTTAAAGAAAGACAATTCAAGAAAGAACTCTAGCCACAGTTATCAAGGACCGGGGTGGGGCGGGCGGATGAAGGTCTTTTTATGCTCTTTGATGTTTGACCTCTGTGACTGTATTGTCTGTTGGGAGGGAAAAATAGAATGACAACAATAACAGGCTTTGGTTCCCCATCTGTTGGAATCAACCTCAGTTCTCCATGCACGACCACAAATGACCTCACCCCAGCCCCAGGGTGGAGTTCCCCACCATCTGCTCTGTTTTGTCCTCAGGGGAAATCCTAGGTCCCCTTCCTCCACGGGTCCTCCCCCAACCCTCCAACGGACCTTCATTAGGCCCTGAGTTCAAATTGGGATTTGGGGACTGGGTCCCCCCCAAATCAAACCGTTTAAGTATTTTATTTATTTATTTTTGTGGTGCTGGGGATACATGCGAGGTGAGGGCTCTACCTCTGAGCCGTGCCCCAGCCCCAGGCCTGGCTCCTTCTGAGCCTCACAGGAAGGAGAACCTGTTCCAGACCTCTGCCAGTGTTGGGGGTGGCTGGTGAATTTTGGTGTCCCTTGGCCTTTAGACACTGCCCAATTTCTTCTTTCATATTTGTATGGCTATGTGTGTGTCTGTGTCCAAATTCCCCCTTTATTCTCCTCTTTTATTCTTTTTTTTTTTTTTGCTGTACTGGGATTTGAACTCAGGACTTTGCACACTGCTAGGCAGGTGCTCTACCACTTAAGCCATGCCTCCAGCCCTTTTTGCTTTGTTATTTTATTGTCTTTTTTTTTTTTTTTTGTGGTACTGGGGTTTGAACTCAGGGCCTACACTTTGAACCACTTCACAGCCCTTTTTTGTGAAGGTTTTTTTGAGATAGGGTCTCTAGAACTATTTACTTTGAACCTCGATCCTCCTGATCTCTGCCTCCTGAGTAGCTAGGATTACAGGCGTGAGTCTCAGGTGCCTGGCTTCAGTTATTTTTTCAGCTAGGGTCTTGTGGTTTTGGTCAGGGCTGGCCCTGGACCTAGATCCTTCTACCTCTGCTTCCTGAGCTCCACATGGCCGCCTTACTTCTCACTTGGATCTCTTGAGGGATCTCTAAGTCACTTGCTTGGCCAACCCCTCCTCCCTCCTGTGCCCCGGCCTCATCTCCTGGGTCCCAGGTGATCCAAAGCTTGGAGCAGGACTTAACTGTGCCCCCAGGGCCCTTGGTGGTGTTAAGTGAATAATCAAGCAGTTGGTTTTTACTAGGCTCTGACAAATGCTGGGAGCTGGCGTAATAGTAGCCAGCGTGTCCTGGTTTGCCCAAGACATTCCTGGTTTGAACAGGTTTGGAACACTGAGTCCCAGGTGTCAGGTCTGGTTTTTGGGTGTTAAGACTTTCTGGCACGCCCCTGTTTTGTGGTACTGGGGATGGAACCCAAGGCCTCTACCACTGGAACCATGCTTTCATTTCTGTTTTGGAGTCAGAACTGGCTTTGTGCTAACTGGCTTTGAACTTGAACTTGAGATTCTCCTGCCTGACCTCCAGAGCAGCTGGGATTGTAGGTGTATGCTGCCCTGTTTATTTTTTTGGTGGGAGTGGGGTTTTTAAGCTTGCAAAGCAGGCACTCTACTGCTTGAGCCACGCCTCCAGTTCATTTTGATCTGGTTATGTTGGAGATGGGGTCTCTCCAACTATTTGCCTGAGCTGTCCTCAAACTGCATTCCTCCCAATCTCAGCCTCCCAAGTAGCTGGGATTACAGCAGTGAGCCACTGGTACTGGGCCGCCCCTTTTTTTGAGATGAGAAAATCTCAAAACAGGAAGCCCAATTCCAGAGCCCAGTCATCGGCATCGGGTCTTGCTCATCTTTCTGCCCCGTGCAGGTTTCGGAGGGGAAGGCAGGGCACTGCCTGGTTTCCAGCTTGGGTCTGTGTCTGTGTGAGGTTTAGGGAGACACTTTTGACTTCCCACTGGGCTTCGGGGGAAGGGATGCTCTAGGCTCAACACCCTGCCAGGAAGGCAGCAATTCCTACTTGCTGGTCCCTGAAGGGGATTTTCTGGTGCAGAAATTTACAGATCAGCAAGGGCCACCAGCCTGCGGATCAGGCTGAGGACTGGGCCAGCTCAGAGCCCTGGCTTGTGTCTAGGAAGGGTCTAGGCCGTGATCTGTGGGCAGCCTGTGGTCATGTGGGCATTCCAGGGGCTGCTTGGCATTCTGGGAATGTCCCAGAAAAAGTCTCCGTTTTCCAGCAACTTAGAAAAGGGAAGTGTTTCTAGATGGGGTGATGGGTGGGTGATGGTGGGTGGGTGATGGGTGGGTGGGCCCTGGGTTTGTCCACCTCTCTGGTCTGCCTTTTAAATGGGGAACAGCAATTCCTGCCTTGCCCAGCCCACTGCCTAGTAGAGCAGGACTCTGTCACTTACGTGTCACCAGAATGGGGGTGTTGGACACTCACTCTGCCACTATCACGGAGATCTATTTGGGCTGGCAGAGCTGGACAGCCTCCAGGGACAGTGACCCTTGGATGGAGCCTCAGGAAATCTCAGCCCTGACTTGGGGGGATTGGGGAGGCAGGCTGCAAGGCCCGGAAGTCACCCTATGTTGGGAGAATTGGGGTCTGTAGGCCCCTCCCCAACTCCTGGCCTGACCCCAGTCCCTTCTAGGCTCTCTCTACTCCCAGATCTGGCCCTTCCAAAGCCCTCCTTTAAGGCCACCTCCTGGGACACCCCAGGACCCCGCTTCCATCCACAAGCCGATCTGCACCATGGCCTCTGCAGGAGGTTGCAGAGTCCGTTTTCCCAGCTGGGCATGGGGTGAAGGGCCTCCGAGGGGTCACACGGATGGCACCAGGAGTAGGGGGTGGAGACTTGGGTACCAAGGTGGGAAGCCCGCGGTGCAGAAGGAGGGGACATGGAAGGGCCAAGCCGCACCCTGAGCCCCGCTGGGCCCGCAGGCTGCAGAAAAGGTCCCCACAGCCCGGCCCCCTCCCCACTGAGCCCAGGGGAGGGGCGTGGCGTGGCGGATAGGGGCGTGGCCTCACGACGCTGACGTCACCCCGCCTATAAAGCGGCGGGTATCGCGGGCCGGCATTGTGGACTGCTGCTGAGAGTGCGCGCGCGAGGTTGCCGCCGCCGCCGAACAAAGGAGCACAGGGGGCTCCGCGCGGGGACCGCCACCCCACCTCCCCGGGCCACCCGGGCCTGCGCCCACCGCCGCCATCACCACCACCATGACCGCCAACGGCACGGCCGAGGCGGTGCAGATCCAGTTCGGCCTCATTAACTGCGGCAACAAGTACCTGACCGCCGAGGCGTTCGGGTTCAAGGTGAACGCGTCGGCCAGCAGCCTCAAGAAGAAGCAGATCTGGACACTGGAGCAGCCGCCCGACGAAGCGGGCAGCGCGGCCGTGTGTCTGCGTAGCCACCTGGGTCGCTACCTGGCGGCCGACAAGGATGGCAATGTGACCTGTGAGCGCGAAGTGCCCAGCGCCGACTGTCGCTTCCTCATCGTGGCGCACGACGATGGCCGCTGGTCTCTGCAATCCGAGGCGCACCGGCGTTATTTCGGTGGCACCGAGGATCGCCTGTCGTGCTTTGCGCAAACCGTGTCACCAGCCGAGAAGTGGAGCGTGCACATCGCCATGCACCCACAAGTCAACATCTACAGCCTGACCCGCAAGCGCTACGCGCACCTGAGCGCACGGCCGGCCGACGAGATCGCCGTGGATCGCGACGTGCCGTGGGGCGTCGACTCGCTCATCACGCTGGCCTTTCAAGACCAGCGCTACAGCGTGCAGACCGCTGACCACCGCTTCCTGCGCCACGACGGACGCCTGGTGGCCCGCCCCGAGCCCGCCACTGGCTACACGTTGGAGTTCCGCTCCGGGAAAGTGGCCTTCCGCGACTGCGAAGGCCGCTACCTGGCACCGTCGGGACCCAGCGGCACGCTCAAGGCGGGCAAGGCCACCAAGGTGGGCAAGGACGAGCTGTTCGCGCTGGAACAGAGCTGCGCCCAGGTCGTGCTGCAGGCGGCCAACGAGAGAAATGTGTCCACGCGCCAGGGTGAGTGGGGACGTCGCCCCCTGTGTCTCCGGCCCCATTGCACAAAGCGCACCCCACCCGCAGCTGCCAGCCTCTCGCGCTTTTTCTCGGCCGCTAGGCGCACAGGCCACCCCGCCCTGCCACGGGACGGGTGGTCCCCATGCGGAGGAAGGGGCGCAGGGTGGGGTCTTGGGCATCGCTTGTTCAATTCCCACCCAGGGCTGGGGCATTGGGGGGGGTCTCTAGGCCACCCCCCCACCCCCCCCGTCCAACCTGGGTTCTCTCCATGCGCCTGGATCCTTCGGATCGGAGGTCCCCCAAACGCCCCCCCAGCTCTTGGGGAGGGGGCGCCCCTCGTTCGTTTCCACGTCCCCGGGTCCCAGTTGGTGGACGTGGAGCTGCGGGGCCCAAGCGAGGTCTCAACCAGCCCCGGGCGCCCCCTCCCCCCCGGCCGCCTTTCTTGGAGAGGTGGGGGAGGTTGGCGGGGCTTTTGATCCCAGCGGGGCGCATGGCCACCTCCTCCCGCCGCCGGGCGGGGTCGCGCCCTGCTTGGTGGTGTGCGTGGGGGGCGCCCGCAGTGTCCGCCCTTCCCCCAGCTCCTCCTCCCTCGGCGGGCCCCGCGCTCCAGGCCGCGGCCTTTGTGAGCAGGGGGCGGGTCGCTTCGGCTGAGCCCTCCCTCGCCCCCTTTGTCCTGCTTGGGCTCTGCAGATGGGAAAACCAGATGCGGCGGGGCGGGGGAGGGGATCGACTCAGCGGATCCCCCTGCGGAGGAACCCCCACCCCCACCTCCACCCCCAGGCGCTGTGGCTGCGCCAGTGTCCCGTCCCGAGGGTCCCAGGGAGGCGGCCTTGGTTACTCGCATCGCGACCTGCTGGCGGCGTGGCACCGATGGCCGTGCGCCAAGCACCCCGCCCTGCGCCCTGCCGCGCGCCTCCTGGCCTCCGCGCCACGTCGGGAGACCCCAGCCTGGATCCCTCGGGAAGCCCCTACCCTCGAGTGAACCCGTCTCCAAGGGCCCTGTCGGGAACAATTGGCTGCAACTGGATCGGTCCCCTCCAGGCCTTCCCACTTCCGACTGGTCTGAGCGCCAGAAGCGAGCGAGGCCCCCCTCTTGGCCTCCTTCCTCAGGTTCTCCCCGTCGACAGTGTCTCTTCCTTCTGGCGACCGCTCCCTCTTTCCAAGACGCTGTTTGCAGCCAGAGGCCCCTTGAAGGAATTTGTGGGGACCCTGGAGGGGACCTGTGAGGCTCTTGCTCCCCTGGATGAAAAACTGAACCCCAGGCTTTGGGTATAGCTGGTTGGGCGCTGGTCTGTAGAAGACTGTAGACTCTCCTGGCTTTGGGGGTAAAGGTGGAGGCCTGGGTGGGGCCTGACTTTACTGAGTTAAGGCTCAGAGAGGTAGAGCCACTTGCTCCAGGTCACACAGCAAGTAAGCAGCCTGCCAAACTGGGTGTATGTGACCCCATAAATAGGGATCTTATGTGGGCCCCCCCCTTCCCATGCCTGTCACCTCCCTCTTCCTGTCTTTCCACTTGCTGGGTGGGGAGAGAAAATTCCCACCTGTTGAGGACATGCTGAGATCCAGTGAGTGGTGAACTGATGGGGTCCCAGTCTCTCGGGGATGTGACTGGGATATATCAAGGAAAAGGCTGGTGATACAGGACCAGGGTCCCAGATGACATTGGGGAGGGTCTTTTTTTTTTTTTTTTGGGGGGGGTGGTACTGGGGTTTGAACTCAAGGCGTACACCCTGAGCCACTCCACCAACCGTTTTTTGTGGTCATTTTTTTTTCGAGATAGGGTCTCAAATTCATTGCCGGGCTGGCTTTGAACCAAAATCCTCCTGATCTCTGCCTCCTGAGTAGCTGGGATTACAGGTGTGAGCCACTGTGTGTGGGGGGGGTCCTTTAATTATTATTTCTTCTTTCTCTTTATTCTTCTCCAGGGCGTAAAACCTCCACGTTCACTTTGAGGGGCCCAGGCACAGTCCCAAAGGCGGCAGGGTCCACTTGCTGTGTGCACCTCTATGGCAGGGGAGGGTCCTTTCTGAGGAGGACTCCTGAGTTGACCTGGAGGGGAATAGAAGGTAGCACACGCTGAGAGTGTGCAACGGTGGCGCAAGGCAGAGGACCACAGCCTACACCAAAGTCCTCCTGGGGCAGGAGGCCTAGGAGGAAGCCCACCGGGAGTGGGAGGCAGGCTGGGAGCTAGGACTGGAGGGGCCAAAGGACTGGGATAGGTGCTCATTAGCACAGAGACAGGACCCACGCCTGCTGGGCAGCGGCCAGGGCCTGTTGCCCCTGGGGAAGATGAGGCAGGAGCAGATGGTCAGGCCCTTGAGACCAGGACAGCCCGAGGGTGTTTTGCAAGTCTAGGCTAGGCATACCCACTCACTGGGGTGTCATGATCCAAGCTGATGAGGCAGGAGGAGCTGGAACTTGGACCCAGGCAGCGTTGGCTCATCTTTGAATTTAAAAGGCTGAGAAACTGAGGAGATGACTGTGGGGGGGGGTTATACCTCAGATGTTGGGGTCCTCATTCATTTCCATGTCATCCAATCCTCCAGGGCCTCCTGGGTTGACATGGGGGGTGGCCCAAGGACCAGGAGCTTCAGGGCAGGCGTGTCTTCGAGGCCATTTTGGGCAGGCCTGAGTGGCAGACAGGGACTCTGGACAGCTGCAGACGGGAGGGGGGCTCAGCAGGCCTGGGCTGTGAACCATCCTGCAGGCCTGTGCTCACTGGGCCTGGAGGTGTGTGTGTGGGGGAGGGGCTAGGCTTACTCTCCAGCCTCAGTTTCCCCCTCTGGACAATACATAGGTTCTTTCAGCTTTGATCCTGGAAGGGCAGCATCATAGCTGAGTGAACATCCCTTTCTGCAGGAAGGGTCTCCTCCCTGGCCCTCACGACCCTCGGGAGCACCAGCCACTGCTGGACCTTCCTGCAGTCAGGGCCATCAGCACCGTCTCTGACCAGCCACCTCACCTGGGGCTCCTGAGCCTCCACTCAGAGTCCCGTCTCAGTCACTCTGAGGGTGACTGGCTGAGGAGGGGCTGATCAGGCTGTTTTTTTTTTTTTTTTTTTTGGCAGTCCTGGGGTTTGAACCCAGCTTCACACTTGCTAGGCAGGTGCTCTACCACTTGAGCCACCCCCCCTAGCGCTTCTTGCTTTTAGTTATTTTTTAGATAGGGTCTCTCACTTTTTGCCTGGCCAACCTGGGATCTCAGTCCTCCTACCTCCACTTCCTTGGTGGCTGGGCAAGCCACTTGTTCTTTGAGATAGAATCTCATTAACTTTTTGTCCAGAGTAGTGTTGAACCTTCATCCTCCTGATCTCTGCCTCCAGAGTAGCTGGGATTACAAGTGGGAGCTGCTGGCCCTGGCCTTAAGATAGGTTTTTCTGGATGAATAAGAGATAAGAGAGATAGGAACTGGGCACCAGTGGCTCACTCCTGTAATCCCAGCTACTCAGGAGGCAGAGATAAGAGGATCCCAGTTTGAAGCCAGCCAGGGCAAATAGTTCAAAAGACCCTATCTTGAGAAAAGTCCATCACAAAAAAGGGCTGGTGGAGTAGCTCAAGGTATAAGCCCTGAGTTCAAAGGTCAGCACTATAGAAAAAAGAGAGAGACAGATGGGGAATGGCTTGTACAAGGATGGTGGGATTTGAAGGGGTTAGAACTGACTAGAAGGAGGGAGATGAGGTGAGGCTCTGAATGATTGTAAGCCCCCTCCCCTAAATGGGATGGGATGGAGGATGGATGAGGCAGAGAGGGGCATCCCGGGTGAGCCAGGGCAGAGAATGGCTGAGAGGCGGGGAGCAGGAAGTCCCTGATGTCAGGGGACAGGCAGGAGCCCTCTGGAGGGAGGTGGAGGCAGGAGACGCACCCTCCCAAGGCTTAGTCAGGAGCCCCCACCCCCATCTCCCGGCCCCCGGGTTCCTGGGAGTCTGTGACTCAGGTTTTCTGTGCACTGTTGATGAAAAGACCAAATTCTGCAGAACACCCGTTCCCATAGCAACGCAGCTCCGATTAGAGGCTCCGAGGCTGAGGTCTTTCCTGCCTGGGGTGGGGAGTGGGGGTCAGCTCCCCATTCCCCACCTTTCCTGTTGGACTGGGGGGACCTGGTATATCTCCTTGGCGCCAGCCGCCCCCACCCCACTATCCCAGTAGAGTGGAGAGACTAGATCCTTTTGGCAGACGGGGAAACTGAGGCAGGGTGCCGTGAAGACACTCGCCCGAGGGTCTTGGGGGCCTCATGTCCGGTGGTGTGGGCCTGTCATCAAAGATGACAGTGGGAGCTAGCTGAGCGGATGGCCGTTGTCGTGGCTCTGGACAGTTCCGGCCTGGGTCTCCTCTGTCTAGAATGGTGCTGGAGTTCGTTGTACTGACCCAAAGGCTGGTGGTGACACAGGGGCTGTTTGGATGACATATTAGGACCCGGGCAGGACCCTCTTGCTTTCTCCCCAGGGAGCCTGGGGTCCCCTGTGTCCATTCTGCTGTTGGGGTGGCCTGAAGGGCCATTTCTTCCTATCTGTCCCCCTCGTTCCCTCTGCTGGGCACCCATTGGCTGGGTGTGGCCATGTGGCCGGGACCTCCCTGAGGCTCTGTGAAGCAGGGTGTGCTGCGCTGCGTGGCTGACTCAGCGCTGGCCCTGACTCAGGTTTGCCGCCCTCCTTGTGGGCAGGGGTGGGCGGGCGGGGGGACGGTGGCTGCCAACCGTGTGGGTGTGTCACATCCATCTTCCACAGCCCCTCCCCTCTGGGCGCAGGGCTCCTCCCTCCCTACCCCACTCTTCTTCCAAAATATCCCTGGGTCTGATGGCGGGGTGGTCCCCAACACGGCCCCAGGTGAAGGGCCCTGTAAAGACAGGCTGAGGGACCCAGAGGTGCCTAGGGGCGACATCCAAGGGGTCCATGAACAGGAGGCTGCATGGGAGGAAGGAGAGCCATCAAGACCTCCTACCTATGTCTCACGTAGCTGGGATGAAAGGCACAAGCCACCTCGTCTGGCATATTTGTTGAGATGGGGTCTCCATAGCTTTTTGCCCTGGCAGGCATTGAACCTCCATCCTTCCTATCTGCCTCCTGAGTATCTGGGATTACAGCTCTGCACCACCAAGCCCAACTAAGAGCTTTTCCTTTCTTGGTGTGTGAGACCTTGGTCTCATCAAAAAGTTTTATTTCTCTAATTTTAATAATCACTTTTTTTAGGCTGGGATGTAGCTTGGTGGTAGAGCGCTTGCCTAGCATGTGCAAGTCGTGGGTTCGATCCCAGCACCAAGAAAGAAAAGGAAAAAAAAAGTCGCTTTTTTTCCTTTTCCATTTTTGCTGTGTAACCCTGAGCCAAGGACATGCCACCTCCCAGCCTCACCTCCCCCTTGTGAAGCAGGATTCGCCACTGGACTGGGTTGGAATGAAGTTGGTATGATTCAGACCCCGGGTCCCTGAGGCACAAATGTGCTCAAAGTCACACGTGAAGCCAGTGCAGTGCGGTGTCCGCTGCTCTAGAATCCAGGGCACGTGGGGGGGACCGGGTTTCAGCTGGAGTGGCCAGTGCAGGGACATGGCAAAGGACCGTGTGGCCAGCAGAGGAGAGCTACAAGCAGCATCAGCCAGTGGGGACGGAATCTGACCAGGGCTCAGTGGGTCACATAGGATTATGTCAGGCAGAAAAGTTGGCTCAGAGCACAGCACGAGTGCACGTGTGGTTGGGGACGCCATGTGTAAAGAGAAAGATTGGGCGCATACGCTCAGAGACCCGTAGCGGGGGGCTGGGGTAAGTGTGAGTTCATTTTATGTTTTCTAAAGAGAATATGTGTTTTTATGTGTTACTTATTTTTTTTCTTTTTGGAGATAGGGTCTCACTAGGTAGCCCAGGCGGGCCTTGAACTCGATCCTCCTGCTTTTGCTAGCATTCCAGGTGCTGGGATTACAGGCGTGCACTACCACGCCTGTCTCTTCTTTGACCATTTTAACTTTCACACGTACATGGAAGCAGGAAGAATATGGTGAACGGCTTTACTGAGACCGCCCCCCATGTGATCTGCGGAACTGGCTCCATCTGTGCCTTTTTTCTATAGGTTTGGTTGTATTTAAAGCAAATCCCTGACACCAGGGCGTTTTATCCTGAAATAGTTCCATCTGTACCTTAAAAAAAAAAAAAAAAAAGAGGCCATTTTCTTACATAACTATAGCAGAACTTAACAGTAACTACCCTCAGTAAACTGAAGGCCAGGCCATTTTGGGGTAGGTTCCAGAGGGTCCCTGTGGGGGTGGCTCCTTTGACGCTGTTCTATTTTTGTCTTTGTTTTGGTAGCACTGGGGTTTGAACTCAGGGCCTCCCACTTGCTAGGCAGGTGCTTTTTCTGCCTGAGTTTCTCTGCCAGCCCGTTTTGTTTTTCTGAGACAGGGTCTCACTATGTAGCTTAAACTGGCCTGAACTTGCGACGTCGCCCAGGCTGGTCTCAAACCCAGGGTCCCGTTCTTCCCGCCTCCGCCTCTCAGGCGCTGGGGCTCCAGGGATGCACTGCGGACGCCTGTAGTTAGGGAAATGGCCTGGCCAGCCGCCATGGACGTACTGGCTGAGGGGTTTGGGCCAGACACGGGCCTCAGCAGCCCTCCTCCTGTGGCGGGGGTTGGTGTTCTGAGTCATCTGAAATCAGGCGACAGGGGACATTCGGGGGCCTGACCAAGCCGGGGCCTCTCCACAGGCATGGACCTGTCGGCCAATCAGGACGAGGAGAGCGACCAGGAGACCTTCCAGCTCGAGATTG